CCCCTCCCCTTTTCAACTGGTGTTAAGTTTAGCCCAGACTACACTCGTCTGAATTTCTGTTCGCGCGGTTACTCTGAGAAGGAGCTATAGCGTTCTATAACTGCTGTCTAGAGGATGTCTGCCCGAGGACATCATTAAGTCCAATGAAGGTGCAACTCTAACGATTTGCTAGCAAGTGTCGTCCATTATCGTTCATGGAGCGGTCCTAAGATGTGTTACATGTAAACGAGGTTTCATTTAGCCCCGTAATAGTAGGCCGTTTGCACTGCAGCGATAATGTTGTGCTTGCTTTAGACAGCAAAGGGATTTTAGCCACATCAATTTAGGGCTTAGACGTGCAATGGACTAGACATTTTTAGCTGCTGTTGGCGTTATTTGTTTTGAACTTTGATGTCGCTAAAGACTTAAAAGAAAAAAAATCTGTTGAAGTCTGGATATGGCATTTCCCGGCCGATGAAATTCAAGTACATTCCGGGACATTGCTATTTGCGAGCAAAGCATGGCTACCAATAGAGTGAAGAACACTGGGTCAAGCACTGATCGTGAGTAGAATTTTGTTAATTTTTTTTTTTCAATTTTACACGTTCTCAGCCTAGCTAACTATCAGACTGTCTGTGATTCGCTAGCGCGGAAAAAAATTATGTACGTGGCTTCCGGGCGATAATTGACGTAACGACAACATGCTGAATGTTCTCGCTTAATCATAATTATGGCCTAGTTTGTTTGAAGTTCAATCGATTCTCGATGTAGGAAGCTCTTGTTCAGTCCATTTAGGACAATGCAGGCCTTTAGTAAGCTATAGTTAAGCTCTCCGCCGCAGTTTTGATATCTGTACGTTTGTGTTGATTTAGACTCGAATTCTTCATGTGGGAAGCTGTCTTAATTAAATTGTACAATTCGTGATTCAATGAAAAAAGGTAAATTTAGTCTTCCTGGCCTCAAAAGTCATATAGGAGAGTTATTTCCTTTTATGTGAGTCACGATAAGCCTTGTGGAAAGCTAGCTCTTGCACAGAATTATATAAAGATTGTCAGTTACAAGTCAAATTCTGTGGCTATGTATTTGCGAATCCAGACAGATATATACATGCAAAAATACTCAGCAAGCTGATTGGCTGAGAGCTCGTCAATTAATCTTGGCCAATGCAGAAAGTCGAAATTGAGTGCAGGAAGTTTAAATTGAGTGCAGAAAGTTGAAATTAAATGGCTTTTATATTATTAACAAGTGATCAAGTGATTTTCCTCTTGCAATTTAGAATAACTAAGCACTCGCAATGTTTCAAAAACTACAATTAATCTTTTGAAAAATTTCTTGTACTTATCAAATCTAAATTGCGCTCGAAATCATTTTATTGCCTAAGCAATAACGTTCATGGAATTTCCACTATGTCTAGGTTTATAGCCTGCAAAAGGTCTTAGATAAACTTTGCAATAGTAAATGTATGGTAAGACACCATG